CCAAAACCAAACCCTTCTTACTTAGACTATCAAAAGTAGGCTACGTAAAGTGATGACAGAAAACAAAGAAACCATGAGATATGGTCATACTGAACATAACTCCAGGAACTCTGAGTCACAAGAGGTGAAACACAGATTTGCTAAGCAACTCCAACATTCCAACAAAACATGGGGAACAGTTTCCAACGCAACGGATTTTGTAGAATGAAATGAGGTCAAATCGGTTCTCAGAGATACGAGGACTTCAGTAAAAAACACTTGTTTTTTTTTACAAAAATAGGCCTACAAGCGCTTAGACAACTCTTGTGAAGCCACCTCACAAGGATAGTAGCTATCAATCGTACAGTGATCAGCCGATTAATAATTGCTTTTTTACATATTAACATACAGTACGTATAACAAGCAATTCAGATTAATCACTCAATATTTATGAATAGGAGTGGACCAAGAATTCTAGGTGTCTAGATGACTGCTTTTTCAAAACCTCATAATTAATATATATATAAAAAAAAAAAAAAAAAACTGCAAGCAAAAACAAAAACACATACACTTTCTCAAGAACGATTCCCTTGGCGTGTGAAGCTCCACCGAAGGGGTTAGCCTTCCATCTCGTGCCCAAGTGAGCCTTCTTGTAGTCCTTGTCTGCCCATCGTTGTTCACGTCGGTGGTTCACATGCTTACGTGCAGTGCGCAAACCACGGGGCTTACCTGCAAGTTACAATGGCTTGTAAAAAATCTTTTAAACATACTTACATACATCCCTTATCTAATAATCATTTATGGTATTCCTACCACTAATATCATGGGTTTACTTGACCTAGATACTGTAGCCTAAAGTAGTCGCAGCTAGTCTGGGCGCGCGGCCACGATATGGCAGGGGGTGTAGAGGGGAGTGTTTAAGTATTGCTCATTTCCAAAAACATCTGGCCCACACGGCCAGGCTCAGGTGTTGCTCAGCGCCTCAACGCTGTCTTCATGGCTTAGGCGTGGGGTTAGTACACAAGGGTCCGCGCGCCCAGAAACTGCGACTAGAGTACTGTCGTGTGCGTGAACATCATGTGCTTCATTATCCCTTAGAGTGCCAGGCGAGAAATAAAAGGTCGCGCTAAAAATGCCGAGCGCGATCTGGCGATTTTTAGGTTAAAATTTCGTAAAAATCGAATTTTCGATATTTCGACCAACGAAAATCGATGTAGGCCTATCGCATCTAGTAACTTTCGACTCAATGTTAATATATGGGTTAAAAGAATCCGAGTATCCATTCGGTTGTTATGACAACTGTTCGATCATTACGAAACGTCCGGTCAGCCGGACGTTGGCACTTTTGGCTCGTTTTAAAGCACTCAAAGGGTTATATGACTATTTAGGTATTACGGTGCGTGACAAGTTTTTTTTTTTGTTTGTAAAATGGCCAATAATAGTTTTATAAATGCGTGCGCACTACTTATTGCTAAGTTAGCCTATTGCCAGATTCACACCAATATGAGATTACAACAGAACCACAACCAATTAGACAAGAAGTTAATCAGAAATTAACCATTTATTCCACTCAGTTCAGCCGTTTTTTCTAGGCCTACACTTTAATTTATACCCCACATTTAAGTATACAGCATGTTAGGTTAAGCACGGGACACACTAAGCTCAGCACCACCAAGCAGCAACTTTTGTACGGGTCACACTAAGCTCAGCACCACCAAGCAGCAACTTTTGTACGGGTCACACTAGGCTGCTTGTCAGCCGCTAGTGATCAGCGCCCGTGGCACCTCATAACGAACTTAAGTGATTATAAAGTGTAAGAATGTGTAAGAAAAATGAGGTTTTGCAGCAACTCTTTAGGCTATGAGCTGATTCTCTGACGTTCCCTACCTACATCTTTGAAGAAACAACCTAAAGTTACTGTACAAGCACCCACAAGTTTAGTTTTGGAATAAATTTAAGAAATAAATAACCTATTTCCACGACCACTTCAGCTCAGTCATTTCAGCGCTACAAATTACTAAGTTACTTTTAGTCGCTTAGTTTAAACATAGAGGATACGCGTCCGGTAACCGGGCGTGGATAAGGCGTACGGCAATGACGTCATGGGGTTGCGGGAGCCTGGAACGCCTTTACCACAATAATACAATGTTCAGCCATCGGTGGTCGTGGTGTAGTGGATAAGGTGCTCGGCTGATATGCAAGAGGTCCAGGGTTCGAATCCCATTGGTAACTTTATCTTTTTGTTGAAGATTTTGCACTGAATACCATTTATTCTTAACTGTACATCTTTTATTAGAATTTTTGGCATTTATAATTTTTTTATAGAGAAAGAATTTTATCCTAATTCGATTTTTTCATTATCAGCAAGTTTGGTTGGTTAGGTTAGGTTATGACAGTAATTGCCGTACGTCTAATCCACGTCTGGTTACCGGACGTGTATCCTCTGCCTAGTTTAAAGCTCAGTTGTTGACACCATGTCTCCTTGGGCGGCTCATAACCCATTGCTTGTGTAGGCTAAAACAAAGTGGAGAATTACTTGTGGTTGCCGATGGCACGCTTCTAGAGGTGGTCAGACTACACTGGTGGCTGGCGTAACCAAGTGACCACGTTACCTCTAAGTCACTGCTGCCTCGCTACTAGTTGAACAAGTCCGACTTCACCAGCCGCTGACAAATAACTTACTCGTCGGCTGGCAGTGCAAGCTGCAAATTCTGTGGTCACATTAAGCTGACAGTAACGGCTTCTCTCAATTTGCCACGGATACTAGCCTAATTTGACCTGTGCTTTAGGTTAGATTAGATTAGCCTAGGCCTAGTTTCATTTTATAAACAACTGGTAGGGACCTAGTTAGCCTAATGTATAAGTAATAGCGAATGTGGGGTGTAAACTATAAAGTCTACCCGCCGTTTTTTGGTACCCTACTTGGCCGGTGAAAAGTGTCAACCCATCAGGAATCTTTAGGCCTAGATGTACTAGCCTATACAGCCTGGGCTATGGACTAACACATGTGGAAACGATCGCAAATAACCTACTGAAATGAGACAATAAAAACTACTAGCCTAAACAATAACGTGTTCGGTGTACATGTCAAGTTACGTATATGTAAAAACCCGTCTACTATCTTAATAATTGCATCTCAGTTACTTACCCATTTTGTTAAAATAAACGTGGCCGTGTAATAGAAACGCGTAAAGAAAGAGCCGCAGCCGATGAGGAAGGAAGCACCGGAACCGAATAAAAAAAGTCCAATGCCTTGCCAGCCAGGTAATTCACACAGAGGAAGGAAATCAAACAGGAACTAATTGTACACTGATTTAATTATATGGCTTTAAATGTATAACAAGTGTAATAACTGAATGCTTTTGGCAAAATCGACGCTTATACTATGAATATAAAATACAATGATTGATTTATTCATTTTTTGTTTGGTATTTAAAAAGAGACTATAGACAAAAGAGGAAATGAGCGTCGTACGGGGTTTTTTGTAAGCTACGTGATCATCCAAAAGTAGGGGCCGTCCACATATTATCATTGATAAAACATTCTCCCATATTATGTAACGCTTAAGGTTGGGGAGGGGTTCGGCTTTGCGTTACAAAGATCGGGGGAGTTCAAGATCGTTATGGTAACGCACAAAAATCTATCAACATGAAAGAATGGATTACGGTCACTCTGAGTTAACATGGTGGCAAATAAGATACATCTGATAATGTTTTACTGCTAAATTAGTTTAAATTTTGTTTAGAAGTGCCACATTAAAAAGGCACTTAAACAAACTAAACTATAAGTTTTAGAAACTATAATGGTACTGAAATGTTACTATTATTAAACTGGTCTATCCAACGTTTTTTGAGTTTATCCACCTACCCAAAAGCTTGTTTATCTTTTAACACAAGACACATAAGAAAATTCCAATTAAATAATAGCATAGGCTAACAAACACAAGTGTTCTATCTCTAATACTTGATAATATCAATGGTAACAAACGAGAAGAGCATAGTAACGAGTATAACAAAGTAGAAGAGTTTTTGAAACAAGAATATGCCAAAACTATGTCAACCATGGCCACGACTGCCTTTAACTCCAGGCCGCGGCCTGTAGTTAAAGGCGGCCCTGCCATGGCACACCCGTAATGGGATGACTACAAGTATCAAGTATACAGTTGGTATTGGTAATCTCTAAACCATACTTAGTGAATGCTTTATACCATGCTCTTTTTCAAAGCCACGTAAGCTATGGCATCGCACTATGGGGTCATACAGCTGCAGCACATGACATCTTGCTCCTTCAGAAAATGACTCTGAGGGTGATTACGTCTGCCGGGTACCGTGACCAATGTAGGCCTATCTTTAGGGATTTAAATATTCTGACCGTCTATATAGTCAGTACATCCTCAATGGCAAAGGAAAATTCAGCAAAACTTGTTCGGCGTGAGGAACAACACTCTTACCAGACCCGACATGCCAATTTAACTAACCTGCCTAGATGCCGTCTTGTCTGGAACCAAAAGGGCTACCGTTATTATACCAGTAAGCTCTACAACGCACTCCCATCGTGCAGTGCGTGAGTTGGACGTGAGAGCTTTTAGAGACAAACTGAAGGACTATTTGGTGAGCAGACCTCTCTATTCGTTGACTGAGCTAGAGGACACACCACTTTTTGGCAACCCGCCGTCATCATAAGTTCTTATTATTTATTTTATTAGTTTTAATTCGACGCAATACTTTCCGACTTTGTTGGAAATTGCTAATTTTTAAAAATTATTCCGTTTATCGTTAACATTTAAATCTGTTTAGATAGTTTTTCTACCATAAATTAAAAACACTTAGTCTATAGTTCTTCCAGTGATTATTTATCTCCCCTAGAGGATAGATGTAGATACTTGTGGAGGTATATAATCAACGGTTATACTTATTGAGCTGTTTAATTATGCACATTAGTTATATACAGCTTAATCAAAGTTGGTTCATGTTTTCCAACATTCCTCTATGGACACCATTTGTCCTAAACCAGAACCAAAACGTCAAAACCAAAACCAAACCAAAACAAAAAGATAGAGAGGATAGAGGCTGTTTAGGTTTGTTGACGTTACAGTAAGTACTGTAATTATATCACGATATCACTAATAAACTATCACGACACGATTAAAACCCCTGTTAGAGGCTTGAGAACTACAACAGAAGCACTGGCAACTTGTATGTTGTACAACTTCAGTAGTAAGTGTAAGGCCCAATTCCTCCTTTGGATTTAATACTCACAGTCTCATTTTCAATAATTTTTAACTCTCATTTTTTAATTTTTGCTTGTTATTGTTATTATATTGAAATATTTATCAATTGTTATCTAGTTTTGGTAATCGTCATTTTTCTCTAAAAATGTTTATGCATGTTAACCAGGATTTGTAATACGTATGATCATTACTTGCATTTTTGGTTCAATCCTGTTTGTAATTTTTCATGTTAGCAATCTTTTTATTGTCTAGCAAGATGAATCTGAATCTGACATATATATATTTATCTTGTAACTTGCCACTCATGTATTATCGATTGTAAAAATGGTGTTTACCGTATGAATAAATACCCTAAATAGGTAACTTACACAGGGGTGCCCACAAGGGGGGGCCGTGACGCAGACTGCGTCATTGAAATTCTTGGGGGGGGCTCAAAAAATTCAAATGGGGGGGGGCTAAAGTTAATTGCAACAGTGTTCAACGTGACGATAATCCAAAATACATTACGAAATCGCCAGATAGAAAGTGGATAATTAATGACAATAGTTATATTATTGAATTAAATTAGTTAAAATAGGATTTTAGGATAGTTTAGGATTCGTGTAGAAAGTTATTATTTAAGATTAGCAAGACGTGAGATCTAAGAGAGGGAGCGCACGGGATGGCTCAACTGCTGTGATAGATAAAAGATAACGCGTGGTACAGACACATCCAGCTACACCGCGACTTAAGCACAGCAGAACGCTTTGTTGACATAAAGCTCGTTAAAATACAATCAAGTAGCAAGTAGCATAGGCTACAATACTTTACACTATTGTGTATACTCGATTACCTGAGTTAATAGGGAGGGGGGGGGAATGAAAAATACGGTTAATCCAATATAGTATAAAAACAGATGACAAACTCATTAAAACGCTGTAAACAGCAATTGAGTCACGATTTACATTTTTATAAACGAAATTCAATATTGCACAATCATTATTATTGTAAATTTCAAATTATTTATCTTGGTTCAGTTGTACAAACGGCAACGTTTAAAATTGTAGCTAACTCAAACTCAACTAATCACTGGCCAAACATTACATTGCTATAAATAACGTAAATATTAAAGGGACCTTTAGAAAGTGTTATATAAACAGATAGGCTACCGATAGGTGCTGTATCACAGCATAGGAATTGATAGATAAGGAATAAAAAAGTGTAAAATTATATTTAGAGATAATTAAAACACTCAAAGAATGTAACGAGAACAATATTGTTATTCTCTTTCTTTGTTCTTCTGTTCATTAAAAGGGTTCTCTTCAATTCATACACAAATTCAACAAGTCGCCATATTTAGGCCTACTCATTGGCCAATCACAGCCTTACTAAGCACAGAAAACATATTAAGTATGTTTTTTGTGTACTAAGTTACCATGGTTATCACTCAATCACAGTGTACTAAGCATTATATCGTCATCATTCCCCAGCTGTTGTATCTGAAATCTGTTGTAACATAGCGCACAGCAGACAGAAGTGTATAACGGAGCAGACGATTGTTGGCGCAAGCGTTGTTTCCATTTAATTTTCATCAAAGGAGCTGTGATGTTTCTAAAGGGAGGGAGAGGGGATCGTTATATCGAGAAAGACGCTGACAATTCGATATGGATATTCTGGCAATAAAAGATCCCTTAAAATGAGGTGACTTATAAAACTCTAATTTTATTTATATAGAAAGATAAGTTTTCCAGTCCTGTACAACACTGATTCACGGTCTTTTCCCGGTAATAAAAATTCAAGTACAACTTGATACACACAGAATCTCCGGTTCCCGACCTGGATGAGGGCTAGTTATTTAATTTCATTTACAGTTACATATTAGTACTCGTGATAATTAAAACCCGTTATGTAAGCCAAAGCCACACGGTTATTAATCTCACTTGGTTTTGGATTTGCTTACAAACGTGATCGGAAATGGTTAGGGCCTACACAGTATTCTTAAAGAACATTTATGTAAACACGGAAATGGTTAGGGCCTACACAGTATTCTTAAAGAACATTATTTATGTAAACATATCAGTGACAGCTAGGAAAAGGAATCTTTATGTTGGTATGTTGTTTATGTTTATCAAAACAGCTGTTTGTAATTTCATATATGACGTGTTCTCTTAACACATTATTAGTATTTCATAAATTAATGACGTATGTAGTAAACATGGAGAAAATAAACTAGAAAAATCACACAAAATTGTACTTTTGATCGTCCGTTATTTTATTTCCAAAATAGTGAGGCCATATTTTAATGGCTATAAGGACTCTCTCGCCCATCCTGTGGATACAATTAAACCATTAGAATCATAATCGGTACTCTAGTTTTCTTCAGAGTAGGCCATGAGTAGGCTGCATAAAATGCCTTCTGGGCCGTGACAGACGGACATAAATGGAGATAAGACATGTTTCAACTTCTTCAATGTATAAAACATAAATAACCCAAAATGTATAATTCTGAGCAATGTACAGACGAAACTATAACTTTATTGATATAGATTAACTGGGTTTGAGAATTTTAAATATCTAAAAAAAATTATAAAACTTCTTTTATAGTTTTACAAATAGTGCTGGGCGGAAGAATAATGTTTCTCATTTGTTGTGTACATCATTTATGGGGGGGGGCTGTTGCTCAATTGGGGGGGGGGGTGCGTCATGAGTCTAGGGGGGGATGGGCACCCCTGACTTACAGTAAATTATTGACCTATTTATTCTATGGTAATAATATAATAATAATTTGCCTTATCCATTCATTTTTGTTAATTACGTTTATCGGCAGAGGTTTGAATAACAAGGATGTGCTTTAAGTTATTGAACAATGCAAACCCCAAAGAACAATTCCATACCGCAAGTGGCGCTCGAACGCAGTGGTGTAAGCTATCTTGCCGGCTTCATTAGAGCTGATGATGTGTTTCACTCTTCTGTTGGGGAACTTTGTGAATTTTAACTTGTTGCATAATTCATCAATATGAATGATATTATGAAGTTTTTTTAAATTATTGAAAAATTGATAACTTTTCCTAAAATACTTTAAGCTTTATGTCATGTTTCAGGTGGGCTGAAATGACAGTCAAAACCAGTATGAGGGCTCAACAGAGTGAAAGCTCCGATGAGGAAAGCTTAGTCCACGTGTTTGTTCAACAGATGCTTGTCACAAGGATATTTGCTGCGACTTACACTGGCAGGAACTACGTACACCCACTGAAAGATTACAGGTATACATGGGATCTTGCTTGCTAATTTATCTTATTATCAAATTTATAAACAAGAAAACCTTTTGAAAATTGTTCATGTGTGTATTAATATCTAATAAATCTTTTTGATTATAGGCCTATAAACAAACTACTCAAACACGCTGCAATAAATGACTAAATATATAGAAGCTGCTTCAGTTGGCAAGAAATAAATGGCCGGACATCTTACAAACGGCTAGTAGCACACAACAAACCTCTTACTTTCATGCTTTTGAACCGAAACATTGTTCAGGAGCTAGGGGATTGTGCAGACGTTGTTGACCGAATATTTTTTATTTGTTTCTTATCATTTAGTGATACAAGCTGCTACAAGTCTTTCTGTCTCCTTAAACTTTTTGAAACGATTTCCAAACTGTCTGTAAGTTTATGTACTGAAACTGTCTTGAATGTACCTAATTGTGTTTAATGTTGAAAAGGATCCTTTAAAACAAATCAATTTCCTTTTATTATTCCTTGAGTTTTTATGGTACAAAACCTATAATAATAAATTAATTTTGCTGATAAAACATTGCAGTACCAATAATTCAAATATGACACATTTTATAATAGCATAGTTTTAGGTACGGTACGGTGGTGAGTTTGACCATTATATAAGTAGCCTAGTATAAATAAGGCTACAAACATCATAAAAAACGCATGTAGGTCTAGATAATATTTTTAAGGCTGAGCTGAATTGGCAAAGACAAGAAATCGTTTTAAGAGGAATAGCAGAAGGGCCTATTATGAGATTGATATGTGTGGTTCAGTGTCCAGGTAGAGAACTTTGTTGCTATTGGCGCAGGTGCGGAGTCAGTTAGTCAGGTGTTGTGAAATGTTTTCAAAATGACCCCGAGCTAACCTCCCGGCCACACATCCTATTTCCCAAGGCCATAACCCTTAAAGAAAGAGTGATGAAGATTCTGAATAAGTGATGAAGGAAGGATTTGTTAACAATGTAAATGATATGCTGACAAATTAATTTCAGAGGTTTTGATGCATTTTCAACCATGAAAGAGTCCCGAGATAAATAAATAAACCTCTCAGTGTATAATCTAAATCATTATTATCAATTTGAATGGGCTAATTATTCTTCTTGTTGTGCACTTTTTTAGGGACATGGTCCAAGTTAATGAGGAAGAGAAAGATCTTATTAGAGATTTAGAAATAGTAAAGAAGAGGATCAACAGTGTGTACAAAGGAGCGATGTGGGCAGCGATCACAGGTAATTGTATTTTCAAAAAGCTAGACAAATATTGCAATGTAATATTATGTCTATCAATTAAATATAGAAGTTTCATTAAACAGCTTTAGCTACTTGGACTGGTTATGAATTCTTCTAGTCACATGTATTTTTTAACCAAAAAAAGATGTGAAAGAATGAATACTAGGCCTATATTATAGATTACTTTTTGACTTTTTTTAGATGTCTCAAAGATTTCTTTAACTAGAGATAATGGATCGAGATTTGAGTCACTGTTCTTGTTTTTGTATACAAACATTTAGTATATAAATCCTCCTTCAAGCCTTTCAATGACGCCATTGTAATTTCTTGACAAAACTACAAATAAAGAATAATTTGATTTGATTCTTTAAGATAATACGTTATTGTTGATTAAAATAATTATTTAAATTTGAAATATTAGTTCTCTCTAAGTTGAATCACAGAAATGTTCTATTTATAGATATTTGTGAATATGTAATTTTTCACAGCTTTAGCAAGATAACACACTTATCTAGGTCAATTAACTATTGAAAAATCTTACACTATTAAAATAAAAATACACCAATAAATATTTTGATTTTAATAAAAGGATTATTTTCAAACATTAAAGTACGTCCAGAACCATGGCAATTTGGCAAGGAGCAAATCAACAGCATTATTATCCATATCAGAGATTATGACTGAATCCTCTGCAAGTTTAATGCTTTTGTTGTCCACAGGGCCTGACGATTCAGACTCAGACGCGACAGCTGGAGTCTGTGTTTGGACGAGACTACAGGAAGTTGCGTTCGGCAGCTACTGGTTCATGATCCAACAAGTTAGCTTCTCTGCCCTCGGAGAACTTGTGTTGAATCTCAAAGTTGTCAGGTATTCCTTCAAGTTTTGACAGTTGCGTAAATGTGAATGGCTTAGACACATAAAATTGCTGCCAAGTATACATTTTTAAAATTCTGAGATGTACCATAAAAATATGAAACAAGAACAGAAATATAACATAATTTTGGTTGAAGAAAAAAAAACTACCAAATAAATAAAAAAAACTGTACATCTGATGGGTTTGCTATAACTTTTTCAACTTTACTCATTAATCTATCTATATATTAATAGGCAAGCATGTTTCTTTAAAACCTTTTTGCATCGCAGGGAAAATCTACGCATACTGTTGGAAAGATATTTTCCTGTAGATGTGCAGAATGCTTTTAAAAATTAAAATAGGCTAACAAATAAGAACAAAAAATTAATTTGAAAACTTCAAAAAATTAACATGGACCATATGGGTTGCCATGATGGTGACGAAATAACAACAAAATGTAAACAGAAAATCAAAACAAATGGAAGAAATTCCAATCACATGTTTTATTTACAGTGTGGGGAGAAAATAGAGAAGTCTGTACATTAATTATTTTTGGTCGAGTTTCGACCACAGGACGACCACTAGTTAAATTAATTGTAAACACATATGAAATAGTTACCAATATTAAATGTGATTTGTTTTTCTGTGGGATGAAAAATGAATGTGAATATATAATGAAAAGGAAGTGATGAGAAAGTGCTTATTCCGGTGGGAGTTAGTGTATCAGTTAACTGTTATCGTGTTGGCTAGCAGCTGAGCAGACACTGTTTTGCAAGGGTCAGCTGGTAATCAGCTGTGATGATAACATTGGCCTCGGCTGTCCCTAGATTAAAGAGAAAATTCTTTACTTGAATTTTAATGTGTTGTGAGAAGGAGAATAAAAACATTTAGAGTAAGTTAATATTAAATAAGGTGCAAATGTTAGAAAAATTAATTTGAGAAATTAAAAAGGTAGTTAAAGAAAAAGAATATAATTTTTTGCAATGTAATAATTAATTCTATCTCTTAAAGAATACATATTAATTAATATGTTGTTCACCGAACCTTTAACGCCCCATATGGTTGGTTATCCTGTTAGCATATTGTACCAACTACAAATTTGTCAAAACTCTGTTTCAGAAAGTACGAACCAGAAACCATCAGCACACCAAATATTTTAGATAGCTCCATGGACTGGGAAGAAATCAAGACGAATCTCCTGATAAATTTAAAAGTTTGGGGAGCATTTTTACTACAAGGCATTCAAGAACTGGTGACTATGCATAATATTAAAGAAACTTTCAGGTTTTTGTTTCTTTTAGCAATGACTCTAGGAACCGGTCTGATGAACGGGTTACAATTCCTGGGTGATTATTCTATCAAATTCTTCAGAGAGTTCAACAACTTTATTAGAGTAATGACACCCATCTTCCTCGCACTGATTGATATGTTGTCCAAGACGATAGGAGGGTTTTACTTGTTGATCGTAATGTTGTGGAGGGGGGGCCAGCAAGGTCCGCCGCCTCAGTTCCCAGCTCTGATGGCAGCCTCGCAACGGAACTTTCACACTGGTTACCAAAAGCGACCTCCCCCTCCTGGTTACCGGAGGTACCATGATTATTAATTTGTTCCACTATTTTTTATTATAGACACTTATTAGGTTTCTTACCTTAAATTTAAATAGGCATTAAACCTTTGAGCCCCAGTGATTATATATAGTTTTATATGCCTATTTTTGTAACGCCTGTCCCTTTAATTATGAGCAAAATATTCTAAATTCTATTAGAACGAGTTTTAAGTGGCCACATAAAATTAAGAAAAAAACATTTAGTTGTGATGTGCTTTCAAAGAATCCTCCCGTCAAGACACTCCACTCAACTTCCACCTAACCCATCCACCATTTTAGGTGGGCCTCCTAGGCTTGTGAAGTGAAACAGATTTTACCCATTTTAGATAATTTATTATGTTTGCTTAGATAGTTGTAAGCAAAAGTTAGTTTCTATTTCCCAAAATAGCTATTACTCTCTAGGGACTCAAAGGTTTAATAAAATATATTTAAAACACTGTTAAATAATTTTTATTGTTGTTTTTTTTTATTGAAATATTTTATTTATATTTTGAGAATATTGAATCTATCTTTTAATTTTGTTGACTGTAGTATAGCCTACACGTTTTTAAGGTAGCCAACTGCAACCTACCTTAAGAAAACTATATAGTCTTTGTTGATTTTCTTCAAAACAACTATGAAATAAAACGTAAACATTCGCTACTTAATGTCAGTATTTTATGCATTTTTTCAGTTTTAAAAACTGATCTACTTACTCTATGTCAATACTTGACGTGTGTCAAAAATAAATATTGAAGGTTTTATATTTTTAAATAAATGAGGTGCTTGTATTTTTCCAGTATTGTATTTATTTTCCTTGCCATCTTTTGTAGTCAATCAATTTATTCAAAACAAAATGCAATTTAAGTTTATAATTCAGACCATTTTTAATATGAATGGAGGAAACAAATTCTAAAATAATGACAAGAGATACTTTTATTGGTTTGTTTGCTTGTTTTCAGCATTTGTTTGGACTTAAAACAGTCCAAAATAAAAATAAGCTACAGTTGAGAATCGAAAATCCTAACGTTAAAAATCCGAACCACTCCTGAGGGATTTAAAGTATTGAATTAGCACAGAGACAACAGATGTTTTACAATTTCGCGGGCCAAACAGTCGGCGCGTGGCAGGGAAATGAGTGAACACGCCGAGCCAGTCTGTGTTTTGTTCGTTTCCAATGTATAAGCTCTACATCTTTTTTTCAAGAAACGAATTACAGTTATATAACAAAAATACCTTAGTACAAAAATCATTATTTTTATTTTATTCACTGTATCCTAGAACAGATTTTTAATACTCTAGGCCTAATTATGTGTCTATTAGGCATTTCTAGGCTATGTTTGAAAATCCGAACAAATTGCTAGCCTAATCTGAACTACCTACGGTCCTAATTGGTTTGGATTTTTGACTCTACTGTATAATTTATGCTTACAGAAAAAAAATAGTAAATAAGAATCTCTGTTCACATTTTTTGAAATAATTGTTCATATAAAGGCGGCTATAGACACGTTCCATTCGCCGAACAGCGACTCGTGTGGATAGGTGTTTGTCTAAATTGCACGTAGCAAACATTTGTGCTTGTGTTTTCCCGTTCATTGTCAGTATTTTTGCACACATCAAAGTGAACGAATATTTGCTATTCCAGAAACGAACGGTTGTTCGGAAAAGAACTCGTGTGTAGACGTCTACTTGTAAATCGACGAAGACAATTAAATCACCAAATCAAATATTCCATGCATGGCGATTGACGCATGTCTGCAGCCGCCTTAAATATATACAGACACAAATGGGGTGAAAAATCTCAGCTGTTGGTGTTCTACAGCTAGTGTGCTTATTACAGTGTATTGTTGCACAGAATAGTATTGAACTTAGGGAGAAAAATCAGAGTAAGTTTAACTTTTGACACAGATTCTCATAGCCTACAATCTACATGATCCAGGCTCTTTACAAAGTGCCATAGATTATTTAAATTATGGCTGTTATATGATGATAAAAGGTGCCATGGGTTATTTGTTCAACACCACAACATAAAATGTTCTGAAACATTAAATTAATTGTCTTCAGTCAATTCAAGAGGGTAGGCTTGTAAATAGAAGGGAGTATGTTTATTAAGATTTTTAATCTAGAATTCCGTAACACATAGAGAACACAGGTACGGTACCAAAACTCCAACTAAACCAACAAAATATATTTATTTACAATCCGACACAACCAAACACCTCCACACATATCCGACGTATACATTTTTGTTCTTACAGGATACCATTATTTATGGCTAGTATTAAATGGGTTGGTGCCTATCTCTATGAGTAGATTATGAGTAATGGAGTGTAATATATAGTGATCTAGGCCTTGGCTATGCCGATGACACCACATGCAAGACGAGCCCCAGCATTGCCGGTAGTCTTGCTCAATTCGTGTCCTCCCTTACCCAGATCATCCGGGTCTGCGTGAACCTGCAAACCAGTAATAATTGTAACTTTATGAACCGGCAAACCAATACTACTTGTAAATTTATGAACCCGCAAACCAATAATAATTGTAAATTTATGAACCCGAAAACCAATAATAATTGTAAATTTATGAACCTGCAAACCAATATTACTTTCCAATACTAAGTCTATTCTAAGAGTATCACTTCAATTTTATCTTAAGAGCAGTGATTCCCAACTGTTTTCTGTTGTAGTAAGACTAAGATGGTTTGCGTCCAACTTGGTCATATGACAATTTGGTTGAAATATGTTTACAATTTACCATCTTGCTACACATCAGGCGACCTATCTTGATGTACACAAATTTGTAAAATTGGATTAACCGTTGGAAATAAATAAATAAATTTAGCTAACCTAATTAACCCATTACAAACATTAAGCATTTGAACCTTTCCCAAAAAGTTTTTGTTTCCGTACCCGAGAGAAAAGTATGTAACACACACTAGAGTCTTAATTTTGCTATCACTACTTGGGTGAGAATCAACCACTTAGTTTTTGTCATATCAAATGAAACTAACAGAATAATCTTGTCTTCATTCAAAAATCTTGTGTACACGCAGATGCCGATTGTCCACGAACTAACGCTTTAGCACCAGTTTAAAATATCACGAGGACCTACTGTAGCAAATTTTTTCAAATTAAAAATAGTTTGATTGACTACATATTCACTTGAATGTGAGTGTACTTCTTTCGGAAATTCTATTTGGTTTCATAGAACATACATTTGTAACATAACTCAATACTGAAAGGTGTTCTCAGGTAATGCTTACCACGACAGTCCTGCCCAATATGCTGAGAGGGCCAACGAGTGTTATCAACTTATCAGTGATGTTGACCTTGGCTACCCCCTTATCATCAGCTGTCACATTGCCGAGGTCGCCGATGTGACGGTTACCGTCCGTTGGGGCTCCGTGTTCCTTGTTACCCGGGTTGAAATGAGGTCCGGCACTCGTACAGCCTGCAAAGCAACAAGTTCCTCTTACTTCACATTTCAGACTCACTTGTGTGTACAGGACATCAATAATTCGTATTAAATGAGACTACACCCCATCCATGCTACATTTTCAGGAATATTGAGAATATTGAAAATAACTAAAAAACACAGTATGGGATTAAAAGGTTTGAAAATTATGTTCGATAATAGAGGTACAGTACAGGGCCTAAAAGAGGGACGAATTAAACAAATTTGATTGTGTTCAAGCACTGTTTTGTATGAAATTTATTGCAATACGTGTACAGTAAAAACATAAAACACTACATTTGAGCTTCAAATAAATGTGTGATAGGCTTTTGAACTGCAGTTGAGGTACGTTTTATCATTGTTTTATGCAGCTTTATTTCGTCACAGTCCTTTTAGTCTATTCTAAAAGAATCAATTTGATGGGTTAGTCCTCTTTTTGTTTCTCTCTAGTTGTTTCCATCCCTCGGGTGGCCGGGGGACGGTTACAGCGTAGCAGACGACACCATCCCCCTCCCCCTTAATAACAAACTTAAGAGATTAGTGCAAGCTGGGCAGATGGTTTAAAATTTTATTTCTTGATAAAGACAATTCCAGGTTATTAACAGTCTGGCTTCTTAGCGTCCAGATTATCGACGTTTACTATACTTGCCAGGGCTGAAATTTCTTGTAGAGAAAATGCTACAATACTTAAGCTCAACTGTAAGCTCATCTAATCATTGCAAAGTTTTATACATAGAATTCCATATATTGTTTCCTGATTTCTAGCTGATTTGAGTTGTACAATAGGTACTTTAAATTTTGTCATTGACATTAATGGATCAGAGTCAGATAAAGCCATATAGAATTACCAAGATAAATTGATATTCAAAAGTGATAATGACGGTATACAAATTACATAAGTTTTCCCAGGCTAGTGTCCGAAAAGTAAATGAGGTTGTTAGTGTATAAGATTGTCTAAAATGTGTTAAGTTACCAGCCCCACACTATATGCTGGCCACCTGGAGGCAGCGCGGTGCCTAATTGACTACAATTCAAGATTTTAGGCAGAATCTTTTATCAACAGTGAAGGGTGCAGTTCCACATGCCTGTGTATGCGATTTCAGTCTAACTTACCATTAGTGTTGTCTCCAAATTCATGGATATGGAATCCATGGAGTCCTTTATCAAGGCCGGTGACTTCTCCTGTAACAGTCACTGGCGAGCTAGCATCCTGCAAAATGAAATCAAATAATATTAAAATCCGTTGCTAACTTAAAACACCACCCACAATAATTAGGTTTAACATCCTTTAAAAAAGTTACCTAGCATAGTCGTCAGACAAAACCACCATAAAGAAATACTGAGAGAGTTACATTCTAGGCCTATAACTTAAGTAGCCTAATTTATTCAGCAGAAGATGCATGGGATATATTGTCTAAAAAAAGGTATTTTAAGGATGCAAGTACCGCATTCTAGAAGAAATCCTCGACAATTGGGTTTAACTTAGGACTCTTAACACTGATTAAGTAAGCCTTAAATACTTACCGGCACAACCTTGATATCAGACTCCATTAATTCAGTTTATAGATTGCTAAGTAACTTCACAGAAAACATACTACTATCAGAATGCTAACCGCATGGTAAAAAGTGTTAATCGGAGAGAGCTTTGCCTGTCAATTCGTAGGCAGGCCCACCAGCGTGGCGCTGCCTATGAATTGACAGGCAAAGCTCTCTCCGAGTACTTAACGCTTTTCACCATGCGGTTAGCATTCTGGGTTAGACCTATAGTAGTAGCCTATGTTTTCTGTGGTAACTTACAGTCATTTTAAGTTAGACCTAGAATTTTGGTTTAGGCCTAGGTTATTGAAGGAATTGATGGTTTTAAGTTCAATAAGACATGGAGTTGGATAAGTTATTGTTTCACTTTCTTAATAATTTTTTTAAATGACCTCGAACAACAAGATTCTCTCTTGAACTAACTTAACTTTTAAAACTTACTGCAATACAATATTTTTATGGTCGTTTAAACTTGAGCCTAGTAGGTTAATAAAATATAAATGGATGCATGTTAAAAATATAAACTAGCCTGAGCTCTTTGAAAGTTGTGATTTTAACATCTTCTATGCCTACTTGTAAATGAGACCAGGGGTACAGTTTCTTAACTGGGCTATGCTAATATTTATTGAAACTACCGTATCGAATAGAAAATATTGATTAACCCTCTGAATGTTATTTGTCGCTGCAGCGACTCACAAACACTGTTTACGGCAAAGGCTCTATGACTGACAAAATCGGATTGATCTGGATCAAGTTAGGTATCATTTTATTTGACAGATTCAGAGCTTTCTCCGGAGGTCTGTCACTAAGCGCTTTTCATTTTAGTTCCGAAAATATTGTAGCAGACAGCTGACGTGCGTATTTGTAAACAGCTTGGTTAACCTCGGACCGATGACTGATGTGTTTTATTACGTTTATCATTGTTTTAGTGTTAAAAATCTAAAGTAGTGATATACGTGGTGCATTATAAGAAGATTTAAGTGATTTTGAAGGGCTCGTTGATGATCCTGAAGAAGTAGGTAAGGTAGTGATATTGATGTAAGTTATCAGCCAGATTCCTAGCTATGGTTCTAGGCTATGCATTCTTAGCTAAACACTATCTACTGAAATCTGTTTTTCACTCATAACTTATTTATTTGATAACTTACCTCACTACTGTATATGATTATATATTTATAATCCTCATAAAATTTAGAACAAAGTGGCTATTTTCAAATATTTATAGGCCTATAACTTATACAATTTCATTAAGCGCAAACTTATTTTTTTTTAATTTTCCAAAATATTTTTTTTTACCTAAAAGTTTTTTTTTTAACAAACGTTCATTATGTTTTATATATAATATTGAAGCCCATGATTTTCCAAACAAAATGGTATATATAGAACAGTATAATTAACATTGTTTTTAAGCTTCTCAGATCCGTTTTAATAAAACCTTGCAAATGAGCAAAAAATAGGCAGACATTAAGGCCAAAACAAGGGACACTCGGAGGGTTAATAATCGATATTTTTAAATATAGGCCTATATATTATAAAATAAAACTAGGCCTATTATAACCTAACCTAACCAACCAAACTTGCTGATGGTGAAAAAATCGCATGAAGGTTTACTAATCAAATTGATAGTTTCAATCGATATTAGCATAGCCCAGTTGTTAAGAAACTGTACCCGAGACCAGCTTTATTAGGCTAGCCTAGGCTATAGTAAAATATGTATCTTGAAAATTAGTGAATACCTACTTACACTTTGTTCAAAAAATATCGTTCCTTTAACTTTCTCGCCAGCTAAGACACAAACTCCTTTAACTCCCATTATTTACCGTTGACGATTGAAAAATAAGACAGCAGAGAACAAAACCACAACTTGCACTGTAATTCGCAAGAGGATTTTTCTGAAATTGAAATTACGTTACCTTGACCGTGACAAAGCTATTTCTAGAGGTTTCTATGATAATTTTCTTCAGGCGCAGACAAGAAAGTTGCGCGAGTGAGTAGATAATTACGTGAGCCGGGAGCGGAGCACGATGACGCGTTGAAGATGAAGTTGAATTTAAATTGGAAAATGTGGAGTGGAGTGGAGTGAAGGAAGGGAAGAGTGAGTGGAATGGATGGAATTTTACTTTGGATGGAAAATATACGGATCACGGATCGGATGGATAGGATAGGATAATGGATGGATAATAGAAGAGAACATAAATACTTTACTTGAAATACTTGATCTCTTCATCGTTGACCAACAAATGTTGGATAGATTGCGTCATTAAAAGTTTCACTATTTACTAACGCTATATTACATATATACAATTATACTGAACTGACGGATGTGACTTAATTAGGGAAAGCGAGTGGCTCGTCAAACAGTTCTTTTAAAGCGTACCTCTTTTAAAGCCTGCTGAGTAGGCTCTGGCTCTGGCGAAGTGCGGTCAGTGCGGATTTGAATTGCTTTGGGTCATAAAACGATGAAAGAGGAAGAGGAGGAGGAGAGGAGCAGATAAATTTACGAAGCAGTGGGAGGGGATAGAGTTGATGATGATTTTTAACTTAAGTCTTAGTCAATCTATCTATACTATTATAAAAAAGAGGTGGTGTCTGTGTGTATGGGAAAAGTAAACGCGAAAACTACTGGTCGGATCGGGCTGAAATTCGGCATGATGATAGCTCATATTCCCGATTAACATATAGGCATATTTTTATCCCAAAAATCCTTCCGGGCTCCGCCCCAGTGGCTCTGGAGCAAAGGTTCCCATGTTAACCTTATGAGAAATGGAATTAATGAATCTTAACAGCTGTTTCAATTAAACAAGTTGGTTCTGTTCTATGATTTTCAATAGCATTAAAGTTACAAGGATTACCAACAGGGTGCAGCACTAGCATTATTTCTATTACATTTATGACAACAGCTAATTTGCAACCAAAAGGTGAGTGAGCGTAGCGAACGAACTTCAACCTGGAGGCGAGTGAGCGTAGCGAACGAGCTAACCTGAAGACAAGCGAGCGTAGCGAACGAGCTAACCTGAAGGAAAGTGAGCGCAGCGAACGAGCTCCAACCTAAAGGTGAGTGAGCGTAGCGAACGAACTTCAAAAAGAACCGAAATTTCTTAAACCATGTCCTCACTCATAACTGCTATAAGCATTTGATACTTATATGCCAACCCCGTACGAAGGACGGGTACTCTGCTAGTTTATAATACATGTACCAATACCTTTGTATTGGTTTGACCGTTGGTAAATAAATAAATGACAATTCCATTGACAAACAGGCTAGCCACACGTATTAGACTAAATACTATTTTGAATTATTGTTCATATACTATTTAAAATGTATATATTTAAATTGTAGGGCCAGATGCCACTCGTCTTCCATCTAACCATAGATAAAACATACTCCCTTAGTAGATTTCTCATCCTTATGAAACAGCTGAAACCAATTTTATTGTTAGTTCTGTCTGGTGCAATGCTTTTTCTAGTGGCGCCTTGGGTGCAATATAGAGTTGGTGATTTTGTTTTGTTTACAATTTGTTACTTGTTATTTAAGTATTTAAAACCTTGTTTCACAAAATAAAACGATATAATCATAAACAATAACTAGTCCCCTAGTTATATAGGCAAACAATAAAGCAAAAATCATGCAATCAACCCTAAAATAATAAAAAAATACCAACGATACTGGCTATTTGTGTCACCAAACATGAACAAGTAGACACGAAAAACGAGCTTCAAAATTTACAATTACTATGGTCTAACTAACTCATACTATATTATTGTACTTCTGTATTAAATAATCTTAGCCATCGATAAGAACAAATTGTTGCCGGGGATTACTCACGGCCGCCTTTAACTCCAGGCCTCGGCCTGGTTGAATTGGCAATCGTCGCAAGTGGTGTTGTTTAGTGTCAGACGCCCCTTAAGATAGCATGGCAAACAGGTGACACCAGCTCATTAATTCGCGTATAATTCATTTAAATTTATCAAAATATTGAAAATAAAACATACGGAATTGAAAATCAAAACAATATTTATTGAAAATCTGTATTTGTACATTTAAAGCGGGCCGCGGGGTCAATATTTTCATAGTCCAGTAACCAAGCTTTCGTAAATACACAAATATCATTAGCTGCTTCCAAACAAAACAGCTGTTACAACCCTACTTGCGTCGTTGCCATTATTTCGAAGGCCACGGCCTGTAGTTAATGGTGGCCGTGGGTTTACATCAGTGAGTGGCACTTTGTTAGGGAGCTCGAACTCACTCCATGAAAAAGGAGATCGCCACCTCTGCGACAACTAAAGACCTATAGCCATAACATAATCTATATCTAAGGTATTTGAAAAGCAAACCTTATTATGGTTCGCGAACTCGTTCACTTTCTTGTGAACCCAAATTGTTTCTCTGAAATAATATTATTTTAGAAAAACAATTTGGGTTCACAAAAAAGCGAACGAGTTCGCGAACCATAATAAGGTTTGCTTTTTCGCTTTGCTTACACGACATTGTACTTAGCAGCCTGCCTTCATTGATTGAAGGAGAAAAGAAGACTGAAAACAAGAACTACTGAACTCCAAAAAAAAGTATCCCGTTCGTCGGCTTGCTTTGCTTGTCGTTGTCGTGTTGCCCTTTCTTTGTCAAATCTAATATTACTCTAATATTTCAACGCTTTTGTCCTTGCAGAGGTAGGTTTTTGGAATTTATAATTTAAAAAATCTACAAGTTAAATGCGTTACCTTAAAGTTATTTGAGTAATATATCGTTGTAATATTTATATAAACAAAACATCCGGGATGCAGGGTGTGAAAGCAATCAATGGAGGTCGGCGTTGTGATGTGTGGTATAAACTGTGGTTGGCCAAGCAGCTTTTCTCGAATTGGCTTTATTGAAGTTGTATTTTATGTGATGTTAATTTTTAAGATACTGTAAATTATTCCATAAGGACAAATGTTAGACTGCCCTGTAGGTTAAGTTATACCTAGATATATTTGTTCAAAGGCATTTCAACCAAACCTAGACTGGGCCTTTGCTGAATGCTCTAACTTATTTATTGATGAACAAGACGAAACAAATTATTGCAGTAATTAGTGGGTCATTTTGTAATATGGTTGGGTACAGTTTCTTAACTGGGCTTTTCTAATATCGGCTGCACTTTACTTTAGGTCCTACACCCATTCGAATGATAAAATATCGATTAATCGATTGTTTCATTCGATATATCGTTTGGTTAGTTAGGTTAGGTTAACCTTACCTAGGCCTACTTAACCAAACGATATATCGAATGAAACAATCGATTAATCAATATATTGATCGATATTTTCATTCGAATGAGTGTAGGACCTAAAGTTAAGTGCAGCCCTCTCCACTTTTGCGGCAAATACCTTTTGGTTACGCACCTTTATATAGGCCTACCTTGTTCACGCACCTATTATATCCCGAAAAACGTAATTTAATAGGCTAACCGAGAAAAGTAGAGTTTAAAATCACTTAACATAATTGGCACGGTCAATAACTTAAACCTGACCTAACCTTGGGTTACCTGAAATCGATCATTTTCGGTACCTACCTACTTTGCTAACCTAAGCATGGATTAGGTTGGGTTAGGTTAGATTAGATTAGGTTAAATTAAGTTAGAGTTATAGGTATTTAATTTGGTTTTACAAAAAATGGGTCATTTTTGGCACTTTGCTAATTTTTACAATATTTCAAACCTCGTTTTCTGGGTTAAAACAGCAGTTGCTGAAAAATTTTTCAAGCCCCAAAAATCATTGATTTCTAGCAATTTTTGCGATGATCAAACGTGATTTTCAGGGTGAAATAGTCGTTTCTCTAAAAGTGCCATACGTAAAAAGTGCTTAAAATAAGTTATAGCCTAATTTTGGTACCTAGATAAGGTGAAAAAATTCAATATAACATATAAGTAGTAAAGGTATTTCTGTATAAGTTCTGTTTTACCAAATATAGATATTTAGGCCTAGCTAGAGATTATGATTCAGTTCAATATAGGCCTATCGCTTAATTTCTTCTCCCCGATATAAAGCCCAAAGAAAATGACTGCTGTTATGGTCTGTATTCAGGTAGTGATGGAAAGTATTTGATAATCCCAGAACTCATTGTGTGGTTTCAATTCAGGTATTAACAACCACCAACCGTGGAGGGTGAAGGAGGAGGGATGGCGGCGAGTCCGTCGCCCCAGTCGTCCCCGATGCCCCCGCCTCAGGCCCCATCACCCATGGGCCCTCCACAGCAAGCCCCGTCTCCCATGCCCTCCCCTACACCCAACACCCCTGCCATGGGACCGCCGCAGCACATGTCCCCAAACTACAACCAGGGACCGCCCAGTGGGGCTCCAGCGATGAACCACATGAATGGACCATCTGCCATGCAGCAAGGGACACAAACTTTCCAGCCACAACACAACATGGGGCAACCTCCACAGGGACAACCTCCCGTACAGGTAGACCTCAGGCCCAGAGTAACTATGTTTTAACTTATTGCTATCTTCAATTTTGAAAGTTATAAACTTTTTTTTCAATCTGGATAAAAATGTTGTGTTAGACCTATTAATTTTAATGTAGTTGTTGGCCTTATTTTCACTACCTATGACTGGAAAGAAAACTTGATCATTAACTTAAGTAAAGAAAGAACTTTTTAGATTGTTACACGTTAAGCTGGCATTTACCCAGCGCCAACATTGTAGGCAGGGGGTGGGTGGAGGTAAGGAATAGACCGAAAAGGGATAATTCAATTAAGTGCGTCCATTCATTAAAACACAATTTTATTAACTAATAATCAATATTAAAATTTAGTATCTTAATCAATAATATCAACAGAATTTCTTAGCCACTAATATCTACATAGTCGTTCATTATACAACTTTAGGACGAATCTGCTTGTTTGAAGGTCTTGATAAGATCTTCAGCGAGCTGCTTTGTACCAGTGACGAGGATCGATTGCTTCATTACGTCAAATGGGGAACCTGAAAAACATTTTGATATGTGGTCAGTTTTTATCATGAAATGATCACATTTTCATCTGACACATTTTGGAAACAATTCCGGTGCATTAAAGTTTGGCTTCTAAGCGAATGTTTATGAGTTCCTGGTGAATGGCCACTCTGGGGAAAAATATACCGTAACATTCATTACTATAGATATTTGAATGAAACTTACGTAGCCCAATGGAGCCTGTACAATAATTTGTATTTAAACACTTTGATAATATCATGGTAAAAAGTTACTTAGCTGTGGATAGTTAACATAGGTAGTATTTTTCTGAGTTTCATCTAGCCTATATAAAACATTTGAAATACTTATAAATTTTTATCACGTCTACTATTAAACATTTTTAAATTTTTGGAGTGGTTATTTGCTTTTTGATGACACAAGCAACAATTTGTAAAACCTTTTGTATCCTAATCATTTCTTAACTTACATTCAACTGGATTACATATCGACCGGTTAGTTAACAAACGATATAGTGTAAATCATAAACTGCCTTTAAAATCAAATATATGAAGCCGAACGTCTCGCTATATATTAAGAGTTAATCTTCGACCTAGAAGAGGAAAATTTTTTTTAAAGTCGCTCGCTGATTCCACTACAGAAGTACCTACAACATTTTAACAATGATTTAAAAAATCCTAATCACTGCGGACATAAGTACACACTCTGCTAATCGTTAAGCTGTATCCAATTTGCGCCACTTACCATCGGTGCTGAGCACCACGCCGCCGGCCTCTTCCACTATGAGAGCGCCTGCTGAGTAGTCCCAGGGCCACAAGTAGTCCACCTGGTAGGCGTCCCAAGCGCCTAGTGCTACGTAGCACAGCGACATGGCGCAGGTGCCGATAGACCTCACACTGCAACGGACACATTGATCACATTAAGACTTGTATATTGTTGTATGTTGTCCTGTAATCCAGCTACTAGGAGGTTACGAATTGTGAATATTTATAGGCATGCACTGTAGATGCGATACTCCCTGGTGTGGATTAACGTCTGCACGACTGAGTACTACGACTATCCTGAAAATTAGACCAATTTGTTTATACCAAGGCAAAAATGTGGTTCGGATTCCATTATAAACTGTAGGTCTCTTAGTTGCAATTAGCTGTATGGGATATTAATTAACAGCTGTGTCTGGGGAATAAGTCGGCCTTAGTCACTAACAAGACTACAAGATGGCGCCAATCATCGTACACTCATCTCCATTCATAGAGTTCGTGCGTTTCCTGGTGAAGCCTGGAGAGTGGGTCGTTAGAGTGGCTCTAAACCGGGTTTGTATGGGCTTCAACCCTACCCCCAGGCTTCACCAGGAAACACACGACCTCCGCAAAAGAACCTCCGTGAAAGGGGCAAATCATGGTCTCTATGCGGTTGTAATTTGAAGACCAGAATTTACCAATTATAGAAAACATAAACGTACACTTTTTAAGTTACATTCAACTTATAGCACGCCGGCGGAGTTAGAGGTATGCGACTGAAATGAGCCGCGAATGGCAGTCGTTGATTGCACTCAGAGCCAAACATGCTGGATTAGCAAGCGTCTACTGTATCAAAGATTCAGTTTTAATCATCAAAAAGCTACTAACTTTTCTTGTGATTTAACCAACAACGTTCTTATAACTAGGCTAGGGCCGTCTCCACTAAGCTACCCAGCTAACATTTACTCTTATGGGGGTTTTACGTTGATTAAAAGATGGCTATTTTGATCATGTTTTTATCTTTTCTCAAAAAGAAAATATAAATAATTATAAAACAAATTTTTTTCCGACACACACACTTAGCCTAAGGTCAAATAAAAACGTAGCAAAGCACATTATTTAAGGTAAAACTGATAATCTTGACAACTTCCACTCAAGCAGACTACTTTTCTTGTTATTTTAAACTTTTTGTTTTATGTTTATTTAAATTTAGGCTACTATTTTCAATTTTGTACGCAGCACAGTATTTACTTACCCATGTGCTTTGGAGACCACTGCAGATAGCCTCTTAAGTAATTTTTCTTTGATGGTGTTACACTGTGCCATCGATATTTCTTGGCCGACTAACGATTTCTTGATATCTGGAAAAGTATTAGATAATATTAGACTACTAATTATTTTTATGCACAGCCAAATTAATGATAATAATAAATAAACAAACCTATACTTGTCCTGTGATTTTCACCCAATGTATTTTTATCATCCCTATTAGATAACTTATTATTAAAATAACTAGGTCCTCAACACTTTCTTTATAGATATTACACCAGGGCTTCAAAATTCAAGACTTTTTCATGGCTGTTGCACATTTTACAACAGCTTTTGTTCTGTTTTTGATTAGATAGTATCGGCAATGTTTACATGACATTCTACCGGCCTACCTAAATATTGCAATTTTTAAACACTTAGCACACATCTAGGGAACACAGCTAGATGCATCTTAAAGCCAATATCAAGGACGTTAAAGTATGACATTGTCAAATGTCTTACCGTGTTACTTTATTAACTAATAAAACAAAAAGATAGCTTAAAGTCTAACTTTTAACTTAAAAATTTACTAAAGAATTTATAGGATTGAACAGGTAACCTTATTATCAATAGAACACGACAGTCATTCAGTTATAACAACCTGTTTGTAGTAAAATTCATTCCTCTATTTTAAACTTCAAAGCCATTCTTATTCAATTTCGAGAATTTAATGAAATTCAACGTTAAAATATACAAATCATGTTACCTGTGACATTTGAAACATGGATGGGTTTGCCGTTAAGAAATGCGCCTTTGCCCCTCTGCGCGGTAAACATCTGGTCTCGTACTGGACTGTAGACGATGCCGATCTCTAACCGACGGTTGACGGCGAACGCCACGGAGATGGCACAGTTGGCATCCCTGTGCACAAAGTTGGTCGTACCGTCGATCGGGTCAATGATCCATGTTGGTGCGTCCGTAAGTTTCTCCGCTCCCATTGTCTCCTCGCCAATAAATCTGCGGTAGAAAAAATGTTGAGAAACAGTTTTTCAGTGTTAACTAGTCTTAAATGCGGATGATTACGTAATTTCTTGTGTGGTAAAAGTACTTTTTCTAAATTAGGATTTTAGTTTGAGAATTTTGATTTGATATAGCCTAATTTTATATAATTATCTTTATGTGTAGGCCTACTTGATATGTCATTGGTTTAATTTTAATAAAATCGGGAGTGTAGGTAAAAAATTACTACTACCCAGGTGTATTGAACAAACTATGGATAGTCACTAATGGGGCATGATGTGATTTGTTGACATTGATCTCCTTTACGACATGTTTTTAACAAAAATAACACTCTTGGAAATGTTAAAATTGTGAGTGTACATATATTGAATAAGTTTGGAAGATATATTTTATTAGATCCGCGTCCTTAGTAGTAAAAATAACGGAGTTGCTAAGTGGTTTACTCAAGTTTTTTGAAAACTTTTGAAATCCTCAATCCAAACTGATTCTTGACCTCGCTGATAAATGCTACCAACAGGCTAGATAGTAAATCAGGCATCTTACAATTTTCTTACAAAACATACAAAGAAACAAATTTGTTGCAGACATATCAAATAGCAAAAAAGGTTGTGCCTTCTGTAGCAAACAATTTTAAATACAACAGTTAAAATTGCAAGTTTTGTTGATTGTATCTACAAAATTAATCCATCCAACAATAGTCAAAAGAGTGTTCCTAAGGATTACTGTGTATCTGTACGGTGTTATGTTTATTTTGCTAACAAGACATCTTATCTTATCAAACCTTGCTAAATTCTATTTAATGTGCTTTATGATTTAGATAGGAGTGAAGGACATTGTAATAAATTTCTTGAGTTTTTCAACTCTATTTGTTCATTAAGAGAGGTTCTGCTATTTATTTTTTTGGAAACTATTTTAAAATCTGAACGCATTAGAAAATCCATAAAATCTTTATAATCAAAACCACTGTAAAACATAAGTTACAGGAAATTCAGTTTTGAAAGAAAGTTTTAAAATGTTATTTCACTAGCTATAACTCATTTGTCAAATATTACACTGTCTTGAGACTCCAATTTCTTTTGTAATCATGACAAAAAATAACTTCTGTATGCATTTTAGGTGTCCTAAATCTAGTGTCTTAATACAGAAGCAAATATCACAAAATATTTAACAGTAAACAAACTCAACTCTGATAATAATTCTTGATAGTTTAGTGTTATTAACTTTAATTATGTGTTGATAGTTACATAAGATTGTATAAATGACTGTATGTATTCATTTATGTGAAAGGATCTTAATAGTAAATAAAACTGTCTTGTTGGACTAAATGATTCTGTCAATTTGTTTTGATTAGATCATGTTGATGATTAAATATTACTAATGTTGACATTTAAATGTTTACATAAATTGGACATTTTATATGAATTTGCTATGGCTGCTATGGGTTTAATAAATCAATAAATTAAGTCTTTAAGTAAAAAATATATTCATGGGTGTTCATGGGGGTTCATGCTGAATATGAATAAATTCTGGGTGTGAGTGGAGTAAGATGTAGCTTTGTTACTGACTAATATCAGCTGTTTATTTTACCAAGACCATATTATTTATTAAAAAGCTCACAGCTGGGTTTAGCTCTGAATCAACAAAAAGCTTTTGATATTTCTCACAATCAAACCGGCAATAATTTAAAAGAGAACCATCAAACTACCTAGGTCTTTGTTTTTTTCGGTGTTTAATTTGTTCAAATTTTTTTGGTTAGTTTCCACACCTGCAGCATTTTCTAAGAAGAATGAACCCTTTCAAGGGTGATTTCTCGTAATGTTTTATTTAAAAGGAATTTTAACCTTTCTTGCGCCCAAAATTCATGCTAACCTCAAAACACTGCAACTTAATACTTTACTTTGAAATGGCGACCATACATAGGCTACTCCCCTAGTAATATACCTACTAATTTATTGTGATGGTCAAGAAATAAAAACAAGTTACAGTTTATAGAATATTTGTTGTAAAATATTCTCGTTTTATACTCACTTATGGCCAGGAAAATTGGCTGAAAGTTGTTTGATAAGAATTTCTTCTATTCTTCTGTCGTATTCTGTCACGAGATCGTAATCGGCTGATTTTGTCTTGACGTTCTTGGTGTTGTTGAACCCTTCAACCAATACCTGAGGAAGAAGAAGGCATTATTGAGTTGCGTTTAAAGCTGGTTTTGAGTTTTTACTCATTCATTAATCTCTGATTCTATTGGGATGTCTCGGAAGTAGTAACAGATTCTTATCAGTGTCAATATAGTGAAATAGTTGGAAATTGTCAATATAGTTTGTTTTATCAATTGAAGTGTTAAATAACAATGAAAATGTGATACGTAGTTTATTTTATAAACGATGCATTATGTAAGTATCATGTTTGCTTATGGTTTGTTCATTTTTTTTAAACTCACTAATAACTTATTAGGTTTGATTCATTTTTAAAATAAAAGACAAAGTACAATTAAAATTAATAATATATGGAAGAGAGGATTTAACTTTGCCCACTGTGCAAATACACATTAGGCAACTGAATTAGGCAATGTGCATTTGTGTGTTGTGTAATGCTTTGTCTCAATTGACGGTGTAGATTTTGCGTAACTCGATTGAATGTGTCACACTTTTGTTCTCTTGTTAGTTCCAGAAAACAGTGTTATTTGCTTCAACGCTGCTTGTTAGGTTGGGTTGCAGTGTTTTAACAAAATGTCCTTTGAATTGTATCAAAGTGAGTTTTTTCATACAGCGCTTTAACATTAATGTTAGGCAAGATTCAAACCTAAGAATGTAGGACATAATTCCGCCTCTCACCACTTGACAAATTGCACAAATTGTCACCCGACACTCCAATCATTAGGCATAACATTTAAAATTTAGAATATAATTATATTATTTTTCATGTATAAAAAGTGGTTCCAATTTAAATTTCAGTCATAATGTTAATTTTAAGTAAAAACAAAATTACAAACTGTTGTTCTAAACAATTACTTTTGCAAATTATTTTGCATAAATAATTTTGTTTTGATGATATTACCTATCCAACATTTATGCATACAATCAGTTAAATTATTTGCCAAAATAATATGTAATGATTATTACCTTTCCGGCATTCTTGACCAATTGAAGAATCACATTGTAATAGTTGCCAATAACATCTTCCTGCTGCGCTGGTGCCATTGTGCTGTCTGTGATGGACTGACTCTTCTTTCTCTCTCCCCCCATATATATGTTTAGGCCACTCTCCCCCCTCCCTCCCCCCCTCTTCCTTCCACTGGGAGAACACATGATACTCAGGTGCTCACTGCAAGCCTATATTTGATTGTTTTGCAGTTGAAAAAAAATAATTATTTTTTGTAATGCAAATTGTTTGTGCACTTTGCTGCAGGGATTAGTGGATTAGTGTAAAGTGGTTGCTTAATTAATGGATTTTGTAAGTGTAAGTATTTTATCTAAATTCTCTGTTGTTACAATTCTATTTTAGTGCATTTAAACATGTTTGCTTTCCAACTTAAATGGTCTATTAACTAGTTTTCTTTTGGTATGGATTGGGCACAAAAATCTCAGAATAATTATCAATCAAATTTAATGTTGAGTTTTATATACAATTTATTTCATATTGGTTCAATGTATTATTTCAATAACTACTAACTCTATGTAAAAATTAGAGGTTTTGATCCTATTAGATCCTGAAGATAAGAATATTAATTATTTGAAACAGTCTCACATATTTAGAAAAATACTGCACTTTTATAAATGACAAAATTATGACTCGTATAGATTCACAATAATCTAAACTGGGACTATATGTGGAACTATCTATTAACTAACTCTAGCATTTATTTTTATCAATATGCATATCATTTAAATCTCAACAGTTTGAAATTATCAACAAGTTTGTATTAGACAATGACTTATGTAGGACGATAGGGAGCTGGACTAGTGTTAAAGTGTAGGACTTCGGTCCCCGAGGTCCCATGATCAATTCCCGCCAAATACCAATGGATTTTATCTAAGTGATAATGCAGCGACCCCCTCTAGACTTGTCTGAACTAGTCTGAAGTAATGTAGAAAATGATTCCGGGCTGGCACAAAATTAAAATAACAAAATAAATAAACATACTTTTTTCATAAATATTTGATTGGTTATAGTCAAATAAAAAAAAAACTTCACCTTTTGAAAAACTTTGAATGAAAAATGGTCTTAATTTGGAGTTCAATCCATGCACAACTAGTATTTTGTTTAGAAATTGACTTTTTTTGAAGTTACGTTAATGAAGATTAATGAAAAAGGTGTTACCAAAACGTCATCATATAGTTGCTCACGGTAGTACACCTGTGAAAACGTTTTCTATTTTATTTTTTAGTATTAATGAAAAGATATGTAATTATTGTATGTAGCCTACGTTGATTATTTTGTTAACCATTGCAATTCATCATCCCTTATAATGAGACTAGTATTTAACTAAAAGTACGTACGGTATTTTGAATGGATGAATGAGCTTAAGTGGCAAATGTCATTATTACTGGATAACCGCAATAAAAAACTGACCTAAGATCAAATAAAATAGTTATAACTGTGTATTTTATCTAAAGTATTTATGCTTAGGCGTCGCAGGCCTTTACATAGTATTTTTTGTATAGTGGGCAGTACATAGTATTTATGCAAATATGCCATTTTGATCATTTGAGTTAAAATTGACCCTGAATCTCAATCCCTGAATCGGTGATGACCGGTGAATCTGGATGAAATCTGTAATAGCCATTATAATATCATTTCTAACACTTCTTCTCCTATTAAATGCACAATGTAAATATAAATATTTTGAGTAGTGATAGTAAACTATTAGTTATTTGTACGTTAGATCTGTACAATGCTAATAAAAAAGCTATTTTAGTAACTTAAAAATATAACTTTACCGTGTACTGTTGTTATTATATATTTTTTCAACCTTAGCACTTTTAGTTGGCATAAAGTGTTGATAAACTTCTAACCAATTATTACTCAATTAGTTTGTTTATACTCAAGTAGTATTAGTTTGAAGTCGGTTGATCCCAGTCTGATTAAGCACAAAAACAATTATATTGAAATAGTAATATTTGTTACAAACATAAATCTATTGAAAGACACACATTAGCTTCCGAAAACATTCCAGTCCACGAGCTGTTCACGTGAATGAATCTCAGATTGTCATTATCTGCAATTAGTTAGCGGAAGGTTTCACGAGACGGCCGAGATGTGAAGCAAATATTTTGCTTAGTATTCAGAAAACTCATCAAGCCCTAGTCTGGGCCAGTGGAAACCTCCCTGGGATTGTTTACAAACAGTCACAGTTCAAGGTCAAGTGTCCTAGTCACCCCTCTAATAGTATCTTCTCATGTTTTGCTTGGATTTTGAATAAATATGTTGTCACTCACATGTATGCTTACTAATAATAGCACAATTTTTATTTACGGGGTTAATTGTCAGAACAAATGAAAATATACCATTGACCTTTGGATGCTAAATATACATCCCATCTATATGAACCAGCTGTAGCCTATTTTTTATAAAAAAAATACATCTTAAAGATATTTTATTTTTATATAAGCGTATTCAACAGAAATCATTAATCTTAATCAGCATAATCTGCGGTGCCCCCAATTCCTTCCTCCATTTTGATAAAAAAAACTGGGGACAACTTTATTCAAAATTTGATGAAATGTAACAAAATTGTTAATTTAAACCAACACACTGTCGGTGAATCAATTGAACTATGCCCATTTTGGTTTAAAAATTTGCGACAACTTTATTTAACACGGGGATGGAATGTCTAGCTCTAATAGTCAAAGATACTACCTAAACCCTTTTGATAATAAAACTTCATTGATTATTCAGTGATTTAACCATGCATATGTCTTATAATGATAAAAATGCAAATTCTTTTATAACAAGTTTTGAAAGCAGGTCATAACTTTAGTGGGAAAGCAAATTGTTTAAATGCAATTAAGAGTAATGCTGTGGAAAAACTCCAGGTGTCTTGATACACTCTGTTGTGTATTGTTACCACCCCCCGGGCAGTTTCAACTAGGTAAACAAACAGGTCTGCCCTGATACTTAAACTGTTTGTGTTTACAAATAATTTATATCATAGTAAACTTGAGTTATCATTAAATTTACAATACTTTTGTTTACAAAAATAGTTCCAAACAATATCTTATAGGCTATATTTAAAAAAGTTGGTTTTTCTTTTCTGAGTTTGTTTGGCTCTTCTATCCGACTGATTTTCACGATTGAGGTCTCAAATTGAAGGTATGCTTGGCTTGCACGCACATATTTCACATCAAGCATCGGCATAAATTTATCTACAGTCCCACTCGGCTTACGTAAATAAAATTAGCTCCCCATGTAATTCTTATAGGAGTTAAATTTGGTTTTTATTTTCCAAGTTCGTTTGGCTCCTCAACCTGTCTGATTTTCATGATTAAGGTCTCAAAAGGTATGCACGCACAGATTTCACATCAAGCATCAGCATATATTCATCTACTGTATTACTCTATGAAAAAACATAAATTTGATTTATTTTTGAATTCTTACTTTAATATAAGACGTATATCACCAGTTATAACTATATAATCCTATATATTTTGTTCTCAGAACCTTCAGTGAAATACTGGATTTCATTTATGCTATTAGTTATTCAAATGGTTCAAGCAATGTCAAGGTGAACAACAGACTAAAAATTTTTTTTTATAAGGTTTTTCTATGATTAAAAATCAATAGCTTCAGTATTGTTTGTTTTTTATATGCTTTGCACTCAAAATAATCAGTAAATTAAAAAGCTTTAATTTCAGCTATTGATTGTTTTAATCAGTTAAGTCCAAGATAATGTATTACTCAATCAAAAATCATAAATTTGATTATTTCTCGGATTCAATTTAACACTCCGGAGCAGCTGGGTCCTCTGGTTTGGTTATTAATTTCTTTTCAGTAATGTATTGAACAAATATTTATACTTACCGCTGACATTAAATATGAAAAACTGTGTTAGCGAATTTCCCATATAGGGAATAAGCTATTACCGTAGGTCTCATGGTAAGACCTAGACCCGGGACCGATTTACTTTTTCGTTTTGAGGTCCCCAGAGGCCAAAAACACCATCCGTTCAAATTCATATATATATATATATATATATATATATATATATATATATATATATATATATATATATATATATATATATATATATTTATATATGTGTCCGTTAGCGCGATAACTCGAGCAAAATTGATCCGATTTTGATGAAATTTGGTACAAACGTGTAAACCTACATTTATTCGAACGAGTTCGCGAACCAGCATAATCGGACCATGGCATCAGGGGTTTATGGGGGGTTTTATGGGGTCAAAATGGGTTTTTCTAATTTTTGACCCTAAAAACTTTAAATTTCTAAATTTCTCTCTAGACCATTTTGAAGAGCTTAAAAAAACAAATAATTTAGTATATTGAAGTGTTTTTTAATGTTCATTGACTACGGAGAAAATTTAAAAAATTGTAAATTTAAAATTCCCATGTTATTCTTACGGAGAATAAATAAACTGTTCTAGTTTGCTTGTTTATGGATATATTTTAATCAAATTTGGCAATTTGGTTTATTTCATAGTAAGCTATCAATATTTCAATTGAAAAAACACACCTCAACATCTTCCCCGTAGCAGCAAACCTAACTACTAACTAAAATTAATGTTATTTAAATAGGAAATAAATCTGAAAATTTATAGGGAATATTCTAGTAGAAATCATGCCGGGTAAATGGAAATTCGCTTAGTATGCAGGTTTGCTGCGACGGGGGTATTTTACATATTTCGTTGGATTAGATTTATTGAATTAAGTAGATGGATTTTTTGGATTCAAAGTCTTGAGCAGGCAAAGGGGTATACATCAATTGTTATTCTAGTTATTATTTGGATGGAATGAGTAATTGAATAAAACTCAAGTATTCATTGGACGGATTGTATATAAAAGATTAGTTGCATCCAAACTCTTATAGGCCTAGATTATTCAAACCCACCGTTTGAATGAATTTCTCAGATTCAAGCTTTGATGGATCAACTGGATGGATTGATTCTCAGAATGGATTTATTGTATACACAATCTGATTGATAGTTTAATTGATGTTATTGGATAGATGGACCCAAACTCAGATGGATCAATTTAATGTAG